AAACAGCACCCGGTGGAATAACTTGAGTGAACATAAAACAGCCGAATAAAACTTTCTTCCTCTACTTCAGCTACACAGCACACAGCGCTCTCATCTCATCCAGCATGCGTGTCAAGCTACACTACCCACAATATACTTCGCAATGGACTACAACTCCCGTAAATATTCTATTTCCCCTCTCCTGCAACACTAGCGTGCAAATTAAGCAAAACTGATACTAAAATTGTTTTACATTTGGTTTTGTAGTTCGGGCCTAAATAAATGTTTGTTGTAGTTTTTAATCGTTTAAGTTTATTTGATTGACTATATACAAGTCAGTTAATATGATTAACGTATTTATTGGGTAAAATAGCTACTTTTATCTGTCATTTAATGTGTTTTGGTCATTATCAATGCATTGTCACTTTAACTGAGCATGAGTAGCGCAGAAAAAAATAGACCCAGCGCCAAAACTATCGCGGCACTGCTGCTTCAGCGACGCTCACTCCTCGCTCTGACGTGCTGCTGGGTGCGGTATGACAGTTCTAATCTGTTAAGACGGACGCCGAAAAAACACGCACTGCTCATCCTCTGCTCAAGCTCTGCTCACGCGCTGCTGACGCTTGCAGTGTGAAACAGGCTTCAAGATATCATACGCTGAGCAGAAAGAGGTAATGTGCAAAATTTTCCAAACTAAAATTGCTACATCACGTGGCAACACAACAAATTTATATCAGCACCTGAAGCAACACAGAGAAAAAGTATGATGAATGCATGGCGATAAAAGCCAAGAGTAGTAATATAAAATTTAAAAAATGTGTATTTGTTTTATTTATCAGTACATTTGACTTTTTAATTTTATTTTAAAGTTAAATTCATGTAACTTAATTCAGTAAGGTAAAGATGTTACTGTTATTTAATTTTGAACAATTTTGTTTTAATTTGTGATATTTTTCCCAAATCGTGCCGCCCTAATTTTGACGATCTTCTCATTGACTGAAGTAAATTTGGAAGGGGAGTGCTTGAACAGGGCATTTTTACGAAGGCATGTAAACTGTAAAAAAAAAAAAGAATGCTGGGTTCCACACTATTCCTACATGTTGTCCAAACACATATAGATTAAGTTAACATAATCGTTTTTACAAATTTTAGTTGAATGAACATAAAACATTTAAGTTGTCCCAAAAAACTTAAGAATTGTGTATTCAACTCATTTTAAATAAGTTGTTTGTACAATCAGCAAAAATCATTTTTGAGAGTAATAACTTTAAGCCTCAAAAACAAAAGAGAACATAAAAACCATTAAATGATATGACACATTTAATAAAAAAACATCTTTTTGACCAAAATATTGTGATCAAACAGGCCAACAACTCACTAAAATATCAGCAGGGTTTCCATTTCTTTCATTTTCATATGGTAGTATCATACAGTCATTCATATACAAGCCACCCCACAATCATCACAGCATGCTGTCTGGACTTCGTCCCGTGCCATTGTCACACCCTACAGTCTCAATTAAACACACCCTGTTTATTCACACAGGAGTGACCAACACAATGGCGTCCATTGTGATCAGAATGACACAGCCTATGGTACTGGGGAGCAAGCTCTCCTCATCAAGGCACTGCCTGACATTAGCATCACTGTCAATGGACAGAGGGGCCCTAACTGTCGGCCGGCTGCTGCATGGACTTAAATCTTTCAGAAAAGAGGCCAGGGGCATGAAACCAAAAGAAGAAGTGTGACAGACCAAGTCTAAGAATACAGGGTTGAGTTGGGGGTTGGGGTGGGCACGAAGTGCGACACGGTCCAGGCAAATGAAGAGGGGGGGGGAGTGCACATTTGCAACTGAAATCCAGAGCAGTCGCCTATATTTGATTACCACGCCCCGGTGACACCATGTAGCCATGGCAACCACAGCGTTACAGCCTCCTGGGGATGAGAGTTGTGCCTCCTGGTCTAACGTTGAGGGCATGGAGGAACAAAAAGAGGCTAACAGCAGATGAGAAATATATGCAGCTGGAGGAATAATGAGAGGACTGAAAGAGGAGGGGCCAGCAAACAAAGACACTGTCGTTACAGCACATTTAAACACTTGGACGAAAGTTTGATTTGCTGTTTAAAGTTCAGAACAGCTGATCGGTTTTAAGAGTTTAGGACTCATTGAAAGTTCTCAGTCTCTGAATTTTTTGAATACAAGTTTAACAAAAATGTTAATATTCAATTTATTTTATAAAAGTGTCATAACATTTGGAATATATGGTCATTTAAAGCATTTTTCAACAAATATTTTCATTAGGGTTATTCCACCAAATATTAATTTCTCTTAACTCTTAAACTTCTTAAAATTTCTTAAAACAATGATATTATGAAGACAGAAAAAAATCAATGTACTCAGACTGTGGTGGATAATTGCTCTTTTCTTGTGTTTGAAGCCTGTTGTATTTATCCATTTAATTATATTATCATCAGAGTTATTCCACCAAATATTAATTAACTCTTAAACTTTTTCTAAAACTTCATTAAAAAATTATTTTGTGCAGCGTAAAAAGGAATAAAACAAGACTCGAAACATTTTTTTATACTTAAAAAATCTAGTGAATGCACTGAAACACTTTTCAATAGCTGTATAAAGCATATAATAGTGTTTGGAAGAAAACAACTGCATGTTCATTTACTTAATTTGCCACTCAACCAAGAAGTTTTCTAAATGCAAATTTGTGGTTTTATGAAGACATCCTTTTTTGTAGCGAAAACGTACTCAAACTGTGGTGGATATTTGTTTTTTCTTTTTTTCTTGTAGTTGAAGCCAGTTTTTGACTACTGATTAAACTATTGTTGACGCTTTAACTCTGTCAAACACTCAAACTTTATCTTGTAAAATAGGTTAAGAGCTTGACGGTGATCATAAATAAATATAAATATGGATCAAAAACATAAGTACATAAAACAATACAAGTGTCATTCAGCTTGAATTTCTACATGTATTAAAATGTCGAATTGAACTGTTCTTCCCTGAGTAAACATATCGACTATCATCTTACATTTTTTGCACAAAAGTTTATTTGAAATCTGTAAAAAAGTTGTCTACATACAAGAAAAAAAATATTGGACTGTTTACAACAAGAACATCTTATTACATATAAAGTCTTGCAGCCGCAAAATACTAAATAATTGTCATTTTACGTCTTCAAATATTTCACACACTTGTCAAAAATGTTCTATATCTTTATATGTACAGGTCAGAATAAGTATAATGTTTCATTTTTAATAACTGCATCTGTTCAGTATGACAACAATGAAAAATTATTTCACCAATATTTTACAATTTACCTGTTAAAGTTGACACTTCAGTTGCATTTCTTACTTTTTCCATTTTATTTTTCCATTTTGTGAATTTAACTTACCCAAAATGTCTTTAACTAACACGCATGTAAAACACTTATAAATATTTAACCCACATTTATTAACAAACTTTTAATAAAAATTACCTACAAACGATGCACACATTCTACATCATCCAAACCTAACTGAACCCTGCAACCAAAACAGGGATTTAAACTTGTACACTCTGCATTTCTCCAGCATTTGTGGGACAGCAAGTGCACACAGCCAAGAGCCAGATCTTATCTATCATTGTGAGAGTCATAATGAGACTAATTAATTTCCCGTTTAATGCCAGGAGAGAAGCAATAAGCAAGGGATCATTTGCTGTGTCCTACAAAAGCCCTCCAGAGAAAACAGCACAGCACAGACACTATTGCCGCACACTACATTAGCAAAGGATTCGCTACTAATGAAGTCTCTTTAGGCAGTTGTGCCCTTTTGCATCCACCTAGCCATGCATCTGAGAGTCCTGCAGCTAATGTGGTCATCCTGCAAATAAAAGCAAACGCATGTCAACCCTGTTCACTGCCTACGCAACCTGACCTGAATGAGTCTACAGTCTAAAGTGCAAAAGCAGACAGCAGAACTAAATAATGTGCTCATGTGACATGCAGCTCGGGAGTTGTGTACTCGTTCCCTGCTCTTCCACAAGCACAGCTATGCGTTCAACTCTGACCACGTGTCAATGTCACTCAGACGTTTATCTACCGCCGGAAATAATGAGTGCACGTCCGCGTCAGAACATCCCATTTCATCAACAAGTCACGAGCAAAGCAACCAGTCCCTTTGCTTTCGATCTCAACCACTGCTTATGTACAACAACAACAACACATAAGATACAAAACAAAACAAGAGTAAATAACAGCCCCCACCCTCACATCTCGTGTTACATAGTTGTCCTAGATTCTCACTACTAGACACAAACCGAATACACATATTAGTAACCTTCAACTGTAACCTTTAGCACCACTCTCGTTTTCTGTCACGCGCGTTTGATTAACGTTCTATTCGAATGTTCGGTGTTCGAATTTAAATGGGCAAATTCGCGGCTAATAACGTGAGAGATGGAGTTATTGTTCTAATATTGCGTTAACAAATATTGGTTTTTGTCTTGTCGAGCGTTCTGAAACTTCCGCAGATAATGTCACAAGAATCACTGGCGAGCCTCCTATATATCAACGAGGATCTTCAGTTAGCGTCCGAGCTAATGCGTGGCTTTTAAAGCAAGCAAGCGTATAAACACGTCAGAAAGTGTCGCGAGATATGTTTTAGTTGGTGTATTTATTCATTTAAAAGTATCTAAATATGACTGGAATGTGGTCGGTTTAATATCTCGAGTCAGCTCGACGCCAAACGCACGCATTTCACTCAACTAAGTTAGCTAGCAAGGATCACATGGTGTAAAATGTTTAGAAATAGATCATTCGCGTAAGGAATACGCGTGTATATTTCAACACACTCAGATACATTTGTTAAAATAATAAAGAACGTACACAGCAAAAACTAGAAAGAGCGATAGCTTGTTATTGGCTATAATGCGTTCACGAGCCACGTTTCGCAGTTAAAAGCGCGGCGAACATTACTGCTTCCCCTCGGTGTTATATAAATCATAAAGTAAAACGTTTACTTACATTCGTGCATTCTACTGTGGCGTCCGACGACAAAAGCTGCCGTGCTTTTTCATGCAGTAGCCTTTCGCTCGCGCTGTGTCAAAAGATCAGCAGCTGCTTCCTCCATCCACGCAGCGCGGAGGAGATCACGCCGCACGGCAACGCTTCCGTACCCCCCCTGCCGTCGCCGGGGCAACAGCACCGCTTCAGCCAATCAGACCCCCTCCTCTCCGATCTCCCCCTGACAACTGCCGCATCGCATTGGCACTTTTTTAGCAAACCTAAGCAGTCGCGTTCAGCATGCGCTCCGCGTCGCAGCACCTCATTCATTCATTCTTAAGAGATTTGTGGCGAAAACATTGGTTGTTGTTGTTTTAGGGAGAGTCATTCTGACGTCATTTGTTCATTGAGAATTTGCTTCATTTTCTGAGGCTTTAGTGACTTGGGTGTTTGACCGGTTTACGTTGGAAACGAGGTCAGATGTTGTGTCGTCATCAGCGGGGGAGTCCTGGAGCTCGTGAGCCAATCCCAGGCTATATCGCGATGTGAAGTCTTGAGGTTCTTAACTAAACTAACCAGGCGAACTTATATAAGAATTGGGCACACTGTAAAATATGCTGGGTTCCACATTATTCCTTCATGTTGTCCCAACACAAATCGATTATGCTACTTTAATGGTTTTTACAAATTTAAGTGGATTGAACAAAACAATTGTTATCCCAAAACAAAAACACAAAATTGTGTTGAATCAGCTCATTTTAAATAAGTAGTTTAAACAAGCAGCAAAAATACTCTTTTGAGTGCTCTCCAAACATGTTCGACTCTGAGAAGTCAGGAGTGTGACTGCATTTTATACTGTCATCTTTATTTTTTATAAAGGCATAGCTTTTTTGTGCCATTATATTTATATTTTACATACATATATATACATACATATACATACATAATATGTATATAGGCTATAGTTAAAGTCAGAATAATCAGCCCCCCTGTTTATTTTTCCCCAATTTCTGTTTAACGAAGAGAAGATTTTTTTTCAACACATTTGTAAACATAATAGTTTTAATGACTGATTTATTTGATCTTTTCCATGATGACCGTAAATATTATTTGATTAGATATTTTATAAGACACTTCTATACACCTTAAAGTGACATTTTAAGGCTTAACTTGGTTAATTAGGTTATAGGCACATTAGGGTAATTAGGTAAGTTTTTGTATAGCGATGGTTTGTTTTGTAGACATTCGGAATAAAAATTGCTTAAAAGAGCTAATACTTTTGACCTTAAAATGTTTTTTAAAAAATGTAAAACGGCTTTTATTGAAGCCGAAATAAAACATAAGACTTTCTCCGGAAGAAAAAATATTATCAGACACTCTGAAAACTTTCTTGCTCTGTTAAACATCATTTGGAAACTATTTAAATAAGTAAAAAAATAAATAAAAGGTGGCCTAATAATACTGACTTCAACTGTGTATTAAAAGCTAAACAAAAAAAACATGCAACCAAACAAAAATTAAAAATGCTCCTCCTTTTTTGATAATGTTAATCTAATCAAAAGTGATCATTATTATCATACTGGGTACAAATAAAGGCATAGTTTATCTAAAATGTTGAATTTGGTCACTATTTACTCACCTTTATGATTTTCTTTCTTCTGTTAAACACAAAAGAAGATATTTTCAAGAAAGCTGAAAAGTTGTAATATGGAAATCATTGGTTACAGCTTTTCAACAATTAGCAAAATTTCTTCTTAGAAAAAAGAGGAACTCATAAAGGTTTGAAACAAGTAAAAGAGTGAGTTTTTTTTTTTTTTTTTTTTTTGCGAAACCAAGTAACTATTATCAGACTAAATTTGTGTTGTACATGAAAAACTAAATATAAGCAGTCAACAACAAAATCAGCACATTTTTAATTAGTGGATGCATTAGTGTACAAGAAGAAATAATCAAATAATTATAACATTTTAATGATTAATGCCATGAAGAAATTAAAATTAAGTTTCAAATACATAAGTTGAGTAAAATTTAAATTTGATTAAATAAATAAGTACATGAATATGTAAAAAAAAAAATTAAATAAATGGTATTATGATAAGTAAAATGTAATAATTAAAGATTGAATGATTGAAGACCAATAGCACAAAGTACAAATCAAAAACCAAAATAGAATAAAACTAAAATGCAAGTCAGCAGGCTTGCGTTATTAAATTACACAGAAAAGGTAAAAGAGTGTCAACTGCAGCCTCATTATGCGAGTTGTTAATGTAACCCTGTGTGTTGCTTTCTTATCACAGGATTGATTTATGGTGGGCCGGCAGAGGGGTCTGTCTACATCTTCAGAGGACACTGAGGACAATGTTAAGAGGACATTCAGCATGCTACTACGTTAAGGTTTGTGACACAACATAAATCTCAGAGGTTAAGATTTGGTGCAAAATATTGTAGACCTTATAGCTATAAAAACTTAGCTCTAAAATATGACCTACACAATTAAGTTTTATGTTTTGTTTTTATGTCCCCAACATTTTTTCTACAACTCTAATTAATCAACTACTGAAATTTATGAAACTATCAAACTTTTATTGTTATTATCTGTTAGTTTTGCACCCCAGAACATTCTTCAACTGTTTTTGGGTTGTAATGTGTCCAGTGACAACACATGGGCTGTTATTTTGTGCCTCATGTTAATCCAAGATAAGAGTGAAAGCATTGAAGACTAAGTGTGGACAAATGCAAGATAAAGTAATTGAAACCCCTAAACTGTTATGTACTTTTTAACGTATGGATATGGCCATAGATATACAGTTGAAGGCAGAATTATGCGTGTGAAAATTGATTTATTTTTCAAATATTTCCCAAGCAATGTTTACCAGTGCAACTTTTCATACTATTTTCTACACTGCAAAAATGCTGGGTTCCACACAATCGATTTGTGTTGAGGAACATAAAGCGATTAAGTTACCTTATTATTTCTGACCAATTTTAATAGATGAACACAAAACAATTAAGTTGTCCGCAAAAACACTTCAAGAATTGAGTTGTTTCAGCTCTATGGAGCCATATATATACTTGCAAAATAAAAAAAAGTTTTGCAAACAAAAGATAAAGTATTGAGCAAAAAATAAATAAATAAATAAATGCAAACCTCCAAACATCATAAAGCGAAAATAAATTTTTCAAAAATTAAATATTTTTTTCCAGCTTAGTCCCTTTATTAATCCGGGGTCGCCACAGCGGAATGAACCGCCAACTTATCCAGCCTATGTTTTACGCAGCGGATACCCTTTCAGCTGCAACCCATCACTGGGAAACATTCATACACACTCATACATGTGATAATGTCGCTTAAATGTTTCTGGAGTCAAAAGTTCCCTTGACTCCGCCCGCCCCCATACCCCCCCTTTTTTTTTTTGCACTGCTGGATTTTTATTTGTAGTTCTTTTTTTGTTTGCAAATTTTATTTTTATTTCTCAAAACATAATTTTCCAGTTGCTGTTCTTTATTTTTGTTAGCAAAATAAATTTTTATTGCTCAAAAATAAATTTTCGCTTTGTGATTTTTGGAGATTTGCATTTATTTCAAATTATTTTGGTAAATACTTTATTTTTTGTTTGCAAAGCTTTATTTTGCCAGTATATGTGGCCCTAGATTGACTTCATACAACTCAATTTAAATAAGCAATTTGAACAAAAAGCAATTTTTTTGAGTGTCTATTTTTTCAGGTGAAAGTCATATTTCTGTTAGTTTGACTGGAATAAAAGCATTTTAAGGTTAATATTATTAGCCCCCTTAAAATTCTTTTTCTTAGTTTTTTTTTTTTTTTTGACTATAGTTAAAAACAATTTACAGTCAATTTGTCTAATAACTTGCCTAGTTAAACCAATTAACCTAGTTAGGTCTTTAAATTTCACTTTAGGCTAAAGGCTAAATACTTGTATCTTGCAAAATAACTAGTAAAGTGTATCTACCATCATCATGAAAAACAATAAATAAGTTATTAAGACAATTCTCATTAAAACTCATGTTTAAAAATGTTTTGAAAAAATCTTCTTTTAAGAGAACAGCACTTGTATGAATGCACATGTATGAATATTAATATTTATAATGACTTCAGAAGATGACTTCCAAAAATTAACACTGTTAAGCAAGAGGAAGCTGTTAGCTTATAAGAATTAAATGGTAATCATAGTTTAACAGATCGTTATATTGCATTAAACTAATATAGTTCAACCAAAAATTGACATTTCCTAACCATTTACTTACATTAAGTTAGATTTTCTTTCTTCTGTTGAACACAAAACAAGATATTCTGAAGAACATTGGGGGGAAAAAAACAGCCATAGACATCGGTATAATGATAAAAAAAAAAATAAATAATTATGGATATCAATGACTAGTATTTCTTTTAGTATTCTTCATCGTTCTCTGTGTACAATAGAAGAAACAAGTGGAGTATGAGTAAATAATGACACAATTTCTTTTTTTCTTTTGGATGAACTTTAATGCTTTTATTAAATATTTTTAAAAAATTTAAATCGTACTACGAATATATTTTATTGTGATCCCAGATAGCTACAATTTAGATTTTACTTGTATCTGATTTCTCACAATTAACATTTTTTGTTTAAAGATGCAGATGTTGGTCATTTCAGTTGTATTCTAGGTGCAGTTTTCTTGTTCTCTGTCTTAAAATGGGCCGTCCAGTTTAATATACAATCCAGTTCCACTCATTTCCACAGATAAGCAGTTCAAGGCCGTAAGTATGTGTAAACACTGCATGTTTCCATTTATTTGGCCTTAAAAGTCCGAACTCCCTACCAGTCATGTGCCTGAAATTCCTTTAGCAAGAATTCAAGCTTTAGCTTCTCTGGTTAATGTAAGAACGAATGTTTTGTATTAAATGCCAGTTTAATTTACACAAATCTTTAGGCTAAAATAATGGATATAAAATTATAATAAGATCTCTCTGTTTAAGTGTTGTATTCCTGAATTTATTGAATGAATTCCTGCATCTAATATGCATTTTATGACAGACCAAAGAGAACTGTTTTACAAAAAAAAAGTCTTTAAAAGTTAAACAGACAACCTTTGAACTTAGATGAGTCCTTTTTTAGAGTTATGGATGATGTATTATCTTGTGTAGTAGTGCAACAGCTTGCAAAATAAAAAGTAAAGAACCCTGTTTACACCTTATATAAAGATATTGTGCTAACATTACAGACCTGGTATTGATTATTTTTAGC